ATATAACTAGGATAATCAGCTGAATTCTAATAAAATATTTAATTATCATTTTTATAAAAAATTATATTATTAAAACAGAAACAAACTACTTTGTTATTAAACTTAAATTAGATTATAATATGAAACTGAATTAAAGAAATTACACAAAAAATGAGAACTTTTAAATAATTAATTTGATACTAATATCGATATCTTTTTTTTCAAAAATAGAAACATTATCACTTTCTCAAAATCATATAAAAACGTATTATATTCACAGAGACAAAAAATAAAATTAAATATTAAAATCAAGATGTATCTCGTTGAATTATGCGAATACCTTTTTGTAATTTTAAAAAGATTATAAAGAGTCTGCTGAAAAATGAAGATGACTTTATTACCTAATTAACAAGCTTTTGGGCCTGCGTATAGAATTATAATCCATGGGCCCATTTCGAGAAAGCCCAATTTCACTTGTAAATATGGGCCCAGAAGAAGAATCTAGAAATAGAAACCGTATAAAATCCCCAATTTGCAGTAACGGTCTGATGTCTTTCCCTCCACTTCTTCCCTCCAAATCTAATAATCGACTTCCTTCGATTCACCTCTCGATTGCTTGCGATCTCAAAGTTCCATGGATGGATTCAGTAATGGTTTCACTTCTTCAACCTCCATTAAACCTAAATCTCCTTCTGAAGGTACTCTCTTTCTATCTCTCTCTCTCTCTCTCGATTAGTTCAGTTTTCCTAGACTAGAATGAGTTTATCTGTTACTTAGGGTTCAAATTTGTATTTAGGGTTTCGATTTGTCAGTTGTGAAGTTTTTTACGTAAGTTTTGACGTAATTTGTTATGTTGTTTGAATTTTGTTTAGTGTTTACTGTTTACGGAACTTATTAGGATTTTGTTGTTTTTGAAGGAAATGACGAGGATGAATTGATTGAAGCAATGGCTTTGAAGTTAACGGTTGTTGATAATAAACGACTAATGAGTAAGCATTTCATGTCTACCAAGGTATCAGCAGCTTCTAAGACTGCTGTTTCTAAAAGGAATATGTCGGGAGTAAGTGAAACCTTTAGACGGTGAAGAACAACACTTTTTGTTAAGATCGTTGAGTTTTGATTCAAAAAATTCAAGTATTCCTGTTGTTGATGGCCATGATGATGTCAAGAACAGTTTGTTTGTTGACTCACAATTGCAGCCTTATGAGTTATGACCCGATTAAGAATTATCTTTCCCCTAGACCTAGGCACCGCAAGATCTTTGCTCGTCAAGAAAGTGTAAATAGGATCAGAAGAAGTGCCTCTTTTGATTCTGGAATGCCCTTTCTGGAAGAAGAATTAAAGTCAAATGGTGATTGTGCTTTAGGTTCTTCTTCTCAAGAAGAGTTTGCAGAAGAAAGGAGGAGATAATTGAGAATTCTGTTGGTAAAGGTGAAGATGAACATAAAGAAGAAATGGAAAAAGAATTTGATGATTATGAGGAGGATAGCATATGGATTTCAAATATGTTCTTGCAATATTTGCTTGTAATGATTGTTCTGATCTTAACTAGTATGAACTCCCCAACCCTTTCGCCTGCTAGAGAAGCCATTTGGGGTTTTATAGATCTTTACACCAAGACTCCGATGATGCTAATGGTAGGAAATTTTAGAGAGATTGGTTTGGTTGTAAACACTGGTGAATTAGTTGAAGGATTAGAAATTGCAGTAACTGAAGAGATAGAAAACAATGAAATAGATGTTGATCAGGATGAAGAGGGCTCTGATCAGTTGGAAGGATTAGAAACTGCAGAAACTGAAGAAGTAGAAAACAACAAAAAAGACTTTAATCAATATGAAACATGGAGCAAAAAGAACTCCAAACAGTTGCAAGGATCAGAAATCAATGAAAATGAAGAAGTAGAAATTAAGGAAACAGAAGAACAATTGCAAGAGCCTGTGGTTCCAATAAGTAAAGAGAGGGAAAAAAACTCATTATATTGAGGCTAAAAAAGAAAGTTTTGGTCAGTTGTTAGCTGATTCCTGTGAGGAATTAGAAACTGAGAAAATGATGGTAGAGGAGGATGTTATTGGAAAAGAAGATAGTAACAAAGATGGCATATATGAAAACGATATTGAAGAGATAGAAACTACTAAATTTTCTGATCAAATTGGCAAGTTTTGATCCGATTTCAACAGCTTCCATTGGGGTTTCTGTTCTTATTCTGGTATCTTCGAGTGTCCGATATTGTTCAAAGAAAATAAAAGTCTCTTCCCCTTTGGAAACAACGATTGTCCACAAAGATTCCAGGGATGGAAAAAATCTTGAACCTCTTGTAAATCCTTCACATTCGGCGTACAAGATACATTCTGCATCTTTGATGCTAAATCCAATCAAGAATGAGGTTTCTAAAGCCGAAGAGAGCAACTTTTATCTATCTGATGCATTTTATTCAAGTGAAAGAAAATCTTCCCACTTGGAACTGTCATCTGGAGATTCTCTTTCACGTGGAAGTTTTACAGTTGAGAAGGAGATTGTAAAGAAACAGGTGAATCTATGATATTTGATAAGATAAAGTTTCAAGATACTATGTTAATATGGATGCTAACATGTTTTATTTTGGAACAGAAAAGCAAAAACCCGGAGGTAATGCTATCTACAGTAAGGTGATCAAGCAGAACACAAAATCGATCAGTCATGTCTCCATGAAACAGCCGTATGCCATCACCTCCTTGTGAGTTCTTTATAGCACTAATTACTAGAAACGAACATCTTTTTCGGCCATTTTCATAATCAAATGTATTGCTTTTTGATATCTTGGATTTGTGTCAGATTCTAGCATATTTGATGATGAATATAACCCTATATGATCTTTCCCATCTATGTGAAAACTTTTGCAGAAACTATGCTTATAAACCAAGAAACTAAGGTCCCATTTGGTTTTATGGAATAGTTTTGAGGGATTTGGATTTGGATTTGGAAGATTTGGTGTGTTTGGTTTGATGGATTTGGAATGGAATGGAATTCCATTTACTATAGATAATTATAAAAATAATTAAATTACCTTTTTATTAATGAATTACTAGAAAGCAAATTCTTTTAACATATTTTAAAACATTATTATATAGAAATCCTACGAAATCCCATGACTCAACCACCCCCGTGGGATTTCAAATAAATTCTACTATTACATATCCGAACAATCCTGCAAACCAAACATGGGATTGGATCCAAATCTATTCCATTTTTACAAACCAAGTGGACCCTAAAGGAATTGCCACTGCCACAGATAGGCTTTAGATGCAGGATGCCTAGTTATGTCCCATCAACTTATTGTAACATATTTAGATCAAACACACAACTGTTTGGTCCTCTAAAGCAGTCTATGATGACATTTAGACGTATTTGACATCCTATGAAGTTGATTTTGTTATAGCGCATCCATGTGAAAACTTTGCAGAAATCATGCTAAACAGCTCAAGAAACTAAACGAATTGCAGAATCATGATTTCATGTATGAAGTTATATATCATATATATAATATTTATATACACATAAAATCTCTCTCCTCTCCCAACTCTGCTACAAACATATGTAGTACCCAAAATTCTCTTTCCCTTTCCCTGCATACTAAAAAACTAAACAAAACTCCCAAAACTTGTTTAATTTTGAATACCACTAGTTGTTCTGTTGATCAGGAACCAGATGGGATTTAGTAAAACTTCTCTGCCTTAGAAAAGGTGAAGGTTTCTTTGAAATGGTTGGTTTGGGGAGGGTGTGGGATTTATAGTTATCTAAACCACCTCCATAATTCTTGCTGCTACCTTTCATCTTCCTCATCTTGTTGTATGGATTCTTTAGTTTCTTTGGAAGATCTTCAATGCTTATTACCCTTGCAAGAGATGTGAATGATTCTGATTTCCCTTGATAGAACTTTGATAACCCTCTTCTGCAAAAAGAAATTAAACCCAATTTAATATACAGATTCTTGATTCAAGATCACTTAAGTTTCTTTAACTGTGGGTTTTCGGGCATATGAGCACCGACTAATCCAGGTGAACCTCTATGGCCACAAGGGCTTTCGTAGCACCTGGATTCGACCCCGGGAAAATGAGATTTCCACTACATCCCCTGAGCTTTGATCCGTATGTCACAACCCGAAGTGGTTAAGATTGAAATCTTTTTGCATGCTTAAAAGAGCGAAAACATGACACCACAACAAAATCGGGATTTTTAAGACACCAAATATGTTAAAATCTTCTAATAGATTCAATTTATTTTAACATATTTACATATGACACACAATTGTTTGGTGTTATAAAACAATATTTAGACATATTTAGCAGAGACTTACTTGATAGGTAACTGGGACATTAGGTCAGATAAATCATGTAGAGAAGATCCAGCTGAATTAAGTGAAGATGAAGATGAAGATGAAGATGCATCATCATCTATGGTATCTACTGAAGAAGATGAAGAAATGGATGATGATCCATTTGAGATTGTTGAAGTTTCTTCACATGAATCTTGATCTGATGAGTTTTCAATGAAACCCCAATTATGGTGATGATTATTGGATTCACTAATTGTTTCCATGTAAAAGATAAGATGAATACTGTGAATAGAGGTTTGAATCTTGATGACTTTTTAGATGAATGGTTGTGAATGAAGAGGAAATGTGATGAAATGAAAGATGGGTTTGGACTTTGGATGATGGTTTTTTATATATATATGGGGGGATTTATGGCTTTATGCTCAGATTCGACACGTGGCAGGCATTTGTTGGTACCATTAAATAGGGCTTTTTAGTACCTTACCAATTCTACCCACTTATTCCATTACTAGATATGGATGGAATTTTTCCTACAAAATATGATATAAATATAAATATAACTAATTATCCTAGTACCCCTTTTAATGACTTGGACATTATCAAACAGCAAAAACATCTTTAAAACACGTATTTTTTATATTTTAAAATTAAGATAATCTTTTATTTAAAAAGAAAGGTTTACTTACTGTGCACTCTCTTCTAGTAGCTATAGACCTATCAAACTAAGCTAAACAAATAAAATATATTTCAAGGTAAGATCTAGAGGATAATATGTATGTAGACATAGGAACTGTTTAACAATAATTATTGGGTAATTGCTTGTCAGCAAGAATCACCACTCTTACTTATCTTATATGGTAACATTTTTGGTTATCAAAATGGATAACCAGGTAAGCGTTTACAGGATAAGAGTCACCAACCTTATTTACATGATAAGACTCTTAATCCTTACTTTTCTTCTTACTAGGTAAAATTTTTGGTCTTTGTTATGTTCGCTCGATAGAGTAATTGAATCGGTATACACTTACCAAGATAAGTGCTTAATAAACAACCCTTTATATTCAACTACAAATGGTAAAATGACTATTTCCATGACTACCTATTACTTGCAAAAAAGTGTTACCGAAAACCCAACCTCCCAGAAGATAAAATATTCAAACCATAAGCATGTATGAGAGATAAACAAATATTATATTATAATAATTAATAATAATAATAAGAAGAAGAAGAAGAAGAAGAAGAAAAAGAGAGTTGGGTTGTTATAAGACGGTGTATAATTTTTTTTTTTTTTTTTGAAGTATATAATATTTATATACGATAAATGCAACAAATAAACTCACACACTTTTTTCATCTATGATGAGGTTTGAATCCCTGATCTCCTAGAAGGCCAAGACTACGATACTGCTAGGATAAACACCGTTTGATATGTATAATTTAGTTGGTGGTGAGGGAGGCGTGGGTCGTTATCCAGGGGAGGGATTTGACCAACCAAAAGCGTGTCGTGTCGTTGATAACAGGGGATGAGTGGATAAGCTCCAAAATTCTTTTATTTTCTCATCCAATCTTCACATTTCATGCATATCCTTTTGTCCCCTTTTTTCCTCACCTTTTTCTCTTTTTATATATTTCTAGAACAAGCATAAATGCATGCATGATTGAAGGTTTAAATTCTTTAAACATAAATGATAAATCCATGATTTTTATTCTGTGGGTACATCTCAAAGACTTGTAAAGTCGTTTGATGTGTTTTTAATCGAATTTCATCATGTTGAGGGATTTTTTAAAAGTTTTTTGGTTGATTTCAAAAGTCTTTTTCAGTTTTTTGGTTGATTTCAAGAGATTTTTTTGGATTTTTTGTTGATCCTTGCAGTATTTTCTATATCATGAAAAACCGCTCAGCTATTAACGGGTGCACCTTTTGTACCCCAAATTCTTTTCCTTGGAATATAATATAGAGCAAGTGCCCTGGACTCCACTCAGGGATCTAATAGGTTTGCACTGGACACAATTAGTATATAGAAACGAAGTTAAAACAATAAGACAGTTAACTTATGAGAACTGCATAAAGGGCCAAATCATATATGATTCATAGTAAATGACGTGATATTTATAATACATCTAGAATGGTCAAGTTGACCAACCATTGCATAGATGAGTTTTCAACTAGTCGTCCACTCCCTTTTGGTTGTTAAAATCACATGTGATTTGGCACTTCTAACACTCCTCGTAAAATAACTAGTTTGATCATCATAACGGTTTATTCATACCTTTTTTTGAAAAATGACAGATTTGATTATTATTGGTTGATTTAATATACATAGGTGGAAATTCAAACGAGAACATCTTCATTTTACAAAAACATGAAAAACATCATTATCACATGTGATAGTACATATAAGACCTGGTGGGATGTAGGGTGCGAGTGCGGATGACGTGCCTTGCAACCTATGTTGCATCGAAGGTCGCCTAAGCATCTAATATATTATTACATCAAGACACTCTTATCGCATGTGATAATACACGTGAGGATTCTAGTGGTGTACGGGAACCTAGGTCATGCTAATGATTGCTCGTATCTCTACTTTAGTATTACATTTGAATCATATGTGATAGTACATAGTATCAGATGTGTCATTTAACAGGGTCGTCCCTTGGCATGTTAAATGTGAGATTTTGAACAAGGCTCCGAAATTTTAGGGCCCAAATTTACTTGTGCTTAGGGTGTAAATTATAGCCGATGTTTAGGTTCAAATTATTAATTGTTTAGTTTTGCATTCAAATTATCAATGGTTTAGGTTTAGGTTTAGGTTCAGTTTCAAATTGTTAATCGTTTAGGTTTAGCCTGTAATAAATCTCATGCCAACCGTACCAGATATTGTCCGTTTTGTCCGCACACCTAGACTCACAGAGCAGGTATCAAGTCTCTTATAAGACGACTTTTTTCCCCTATGCAACCAATGTGAGATCTTACAATCCATCCCCCCTAGGGAGGCCAGCGTCCTTGTAGGCACAGTCTGGCTCTTACCATCTGTAACATTCCAGGTCAACCGTACCAGATGTTGTCCGCTTTGTCCCGCACCCAAACTTATGGTTTTAAAATGCGTTTGATAGAGGAGATATCAAGACTTTTATAAGGCAACCTTTGTTTCCCTCCCAGCCAATGTGAGATCTTACATAGCCCATTTTTATTCTTAACATATATTCTTTGTTATCTCGGTTATGCAATGTAATAAAAAAATTTGGGTTTAGTAGGGCTCACAAAAAGATTGGAACGTCTTTGAAATATGATTGACTATGATAAAAATTGTTCTTATTTGAACCATTTTCTATATATTAATTTTGTGGTATGGGAAGTATGGTACATAAAAGAAGCTAAGTTACTAATGCTTATCATCTATTTCAAATACCAACAATTGGGTAAGGGTTCCCTAACTACAAGAATGGCCCTATGCCCCCCACTATAAGTCATATCATCACTGGCAATATGCCTAACTACAAACATGCTTGTTTTGGGTCAGAATCTTGCATATGGCTCACCTCATCTTTTATAATAATTATAATCTCAATAGATTTGGGTTCATTTACCAAATCACGTTACCTCGTCGGAAAAAATGTGGAGGACCAAAAATCTTACTCGATAAGAGGAAGACAAAGACCATGAGTCTTACCCGGTAAGTGAGGATGACAACTCTTACCACAATAAGCGCTTATCGGGTAAACTATTGCATACAATATCATTTTGGTGAATTAAAATTTTACCCGGTAAATAAATGATAGTGTTAAATTTTATCCATAACCGCTTACCAGGTAAATGTTTGGTAAATGACTCCTTAATGCTATCTAGATCGTTACAAATGCATGAGATATTTGAAGGATTTAGAAGGGGGTACAGGAAGTGCATATGCAAAACTGGCAACTAGCAGTAACGACAATGGTGATTGGAGATAAAAGAAATGAAAGGGTAAAATTGGAATAAGAGAAAGAATAGAGAATTTTGTTGACATACATACATACATAGGGTGCGATGGTGTAAACATGGAAATGGTGATGAATATTAAGTCAAATGAATTAGTCCACACCTGCCAAAGGAGACCCAAATCAAAACTTGTAACCCAATTAATCTAGAAGTTTCCTAGGGGGAGAATTGATCCAATACCAGTCGGAGGGACATTAATTCTAAAAATTCTCCCCGATTCAACGATATAATTTTTCCAATTACCTTTTGATCAAAACCAAAATACGTGTGTGAAAGTGTGTGTTTAGGTCAACTCTTAAATACATGATCTAGATTTCTTCACTTTTTGTATTAATATTTCCTGCATAATATTGAGCTTATTTTTACAATTATTTAGAATTTAATAAATTAAAGGGAGTGAATATATATATATATATATATATATATATATATATATATATATATATA